AAACAATCCTAAAATGTATATGGAATCAAAAGAGACTGAGATTAGCAAGAGCAATCTTGGGCAACAGTAAAGCAGGACACATTACAACCTCATTCTTCAAGTTACAGTATGCAGCTACTTTTTTATTTTTTATTTTTTATTTTAGGGCAGGGTCTACAAGGTCTAGTAGATTGAACTTGTAGTGATCCACCTGTGTTCAGCCTCCCAAAAGCTAGGATTACAGTGACAAGCCAACAGCCCAGTCTCAATCGTTGTCTCAGTGTGCCCCAGATTGAACCCCAGCTGCTGGGTCTGCCTAAGAGGTGCTTTAATCTGCTGAGCTATTTGGCTGACCCATAGCTACGCTAATAAAAACAACATTATATAGGCACAAAACTGACTATGTATCAATGGAACAGAATGGAGTATGTATAAAAATTACAGGTACATTCAGCCATGTAATTTTTGATGAAGGGTCCAAAAAGATTGAATCTACATCCATATGTCTCACCATGTACTGAAGTAGATCAAAATGGATAACAAATCTAAATGTTAAAACATTTCACTTAGTTTGCTAAAAGATAAAATAGGCAAAACTCTTGAAGATACTGAGATAGTCAAGGACTTTTTGAACAGAACCCCAATTACATAAGACATAAGGAACAACAAATAGGATTACATCAAAGTAAACATCATCACAACAAAGGAAACAACCAATTGACTGTGGAGAGAACCCACGGAAGAGGAAAAATTTTGTCATCTATTTCTCAAAGGATTAATATGTAAGATATATGAAGAACTCACAATAATCAGACCCACAAAATAAAAGATCCCATCAAAAAAATACCACTGAAATGAACAGACACTTCTCAAAAGAAGTACATGAAAAAATATTCAACATTTCTGGTATTTGATAAGTCCAACTTAGAACAACACTGAGATTCCATCTTACTCCAGAAAGAATGACTATCATGAAATGAAATAGTAACAAATGCTGGCAGGGATATGGGGAAAAGGGAACTCTTCCATAGCTTTGGTGGTAGCATAAGTTGGTACAATCACTATGGAAATTAGAATGGAGATTCTTCAAAAAAACTAAAAATATAAATTCTACTTGATTTAGCTCTTCCCATTCTCTGGGTTTCCCTCAAAGAGTTAAAGACATTATATTACAGTGATACATGCATACTTTTTTTTTATAGCATCACAACTCTTAATAGCTAAATCTTGGAAGCAACATATATATCCATCAACAGATGAAAGTGTGGGGCTGGAGCAAGGCCAGTACCAAGAACACAGAGAGTCTGAGGCAATCCAAGCAAATAAGTTACTAGGAAGAGAGGTGTCACATGACAACCACCTGTTGAATGTATAAATGAACACGTTGCAGTTGTTGAGCAGTTATTTTCTCCCATCAGGAGAAGAGGCTCCACCTGATCTCAGTTTTCTATATTCTGACTCATCTTTATTTCTTTCTTTCTTTTTGGTGGAAGCAGGGATTGAACTCAGGCCTTGCACTTGCCAGGCAAGCACTTATTCTACTGAGCCATCTACCCGGCCCCATCATCTTTATTTCTTTACCCTCTATTGTCCTTCACCCTGAGAATTCCTGAGAGCTGCACTGCATATGGCATATTGACACTTGAACATGGACTTAGGATACAAAGAAATAACAGCTGAAAAGACACCTCTGAGAGAGCACATGAACAAAAACAGGTTCCAGAGAAGCTCAGAGGAGAGAGGTGTATTGATATTGATTTCACCAGGTGTAAACATGGGACAAAAACAGGTCCACTAGAGCAATAATCATAAGTAGAAATGCTTGTTGTATTACTGATTCCTACATTTACTTTTTGATCCTGGACCTGGATTAGGGGATGTCTCAATCATTGTAGGCTTATGGAGATGACCATGGAAGATTTGTCTTGGAGCACTATTTTAAGTCTCAATCAGAAAAAAGATGGCAGAGCATAGATCTCATAGAGTTTAAACCCTCTAGCTTTGTTCAATCAGATAAGAGAGGAGCTATGGGGGACAAAAAAGAAATAGCTAAAGGATGTCTAAATCCAGGGGATTATTTATTTTGGAAGAGAAAGTGCTTTGATTTGTTTGTGGATTAGGTTGCTTCTACAGTCTGCTCAGGGCAGCACAGCACTACAAGAGGGAGGTGTGCAGACCAAACAGAGAGGGGTCCCCATGCTCTGGCTCTGGGTACATTCAGCAGGGCTTCCCCAGCTGTTCCCATACTTGCATGCCCATCATTCATGCCCATGCTACCTTTCACACCATGCTGGGCTTAGAAACATGGGAGCCATAGCAGACAAAATCAGAGGATGATGGGGGCTGGTGAGATGGCTCAGTGGTCTAAAGCACCTACTTAGAACAAGCTTAGCAAAGCACAAGGACCACGGTTCAATCCCCCAGCACCACATGCCAGCTAGCCCCGCCCCCTGGTAGGCTGAGCTGGCCACACACACACACACACACACACACACACACACACACACAAATAAAATTAAAAAAAAATCAGAGGATGGAAAGGCCAGGAAAACATGGTAGCCAAGGCTGCAGAGATGGTGGCTATGGTGTCCCTTGGGGAAGGTAGGCACAAGTGAAGATAATCCAGAGATGGTGCCCATCCCAGGCAGCGAGATGGGCACTGACTCCTTCCAAGTCACTGCCACTGAAGCATTGGTATCAGGTAGTGAGGTCAAGGGGCAGCAGTCTTCCCCTCAAGCCAATGTTGCCACCACTACTGCCAGGGGTGCTCACCTGCACCCTAGAGTCAACAGAGCAGGAGCTACAGCTGGAGGCAGGAGTGGTGAGTGGAGCCCCAGGCACCCAAATACAGGACATAGGTTTTTCTCCTATATAAAAGACTAAATTAAAGGCTGTTACATGGGCCTTGCAAGATTATTCACTCATTCTAATTAATCTCTTTTTAGATAGATTTCATGTTTGTGGTGTAGTGTGTCACACTGAACCACTGCCACCATATATATTGACCAAGACATCTTTTTTATTTATTTCACACTCTCCAATTTGTTTTTTGGTCATGTCATGTTCCCCATTTTATTGGTCATTTATGTTCTCATTGTCCATTGCTGGGCCCTCTCACTGAGGGAAACACTGCAATAGACGGATTGCTGACTCCTGTCACTATGACTTTCTCACACACCATTCAACAGGCTCTGGCTTCCATGCCACTTTCTATCATAACTTCTGCCTCATGTAAACAGTTCCTTTAACTCAGGAACAGGCTTGACAAATTGTTAAACAATGTCCTTCATGTGTAACACATCTTCCCTCATTCCCTACAGAGATTAATCCCACAGAGTTATGCCCCAATCATCTCTGGCAAATGGATGTCACTCGTATTCCTGAGTTCGGCTCTTTACACTGGGCCCATGTTTTAGTGGATACTTCCTCAGTATTTCTTTTTGCTTCTGGCTGCCTTGCTGAAGTGGCTAAATGTGTCACTGCTCATTGCTTGGATAGTTTTAGTACTTTTGGCTGCTTGTAGACACTTGAGACTGACAATGGCCCTGCTTAAGTGGGTGCTGCCTTTCAAACATTTCGTAAAACTTTTCACATTTACCTTGCCATGGTAATTCCTTATAACTCTTAGGTCTAGTAATTGTTAAACATGCTCATATTATGCTCAAAATTCAATTACAAAAACAAAATAGAGAATTATTCCCTACAAAATTCACATCTTATAATAGATTTTACTTGGCATTATATATTATTAACTTTTAAAATCCTACTAGGGATGAAACCACAGCAGCTGAAAGACAATCCAACCATGTAAAGGAAAAGAAGCTAGAAAGGGTCCTTTGGAAAGATCTTCATGCTGGACAATGAAAGGGACCTAGCCCAGTGCTAATTTGGGATTGAGGAGAGTCACTAAGTGAAAAAAACTCCTATTGCTTTCACAGAAAGCAATAGCCATGATCATCCAGATGGCTGACAATGACAGGTGTGTTGTATGTTACGTGTCGGTGCCGATAAAAAACGACGAGAAGACCTGATGAATGTAGCTTCAGAGGTCTCACTGAGACTAGTCTCTCTTCAAGTGAGCCCAGAGCCTCAGAAGCATCTCACATTTATTGAGGGCTAAAGGCAGGCTAAGGAATGTGCATAATTACCTAAGTGAATACAAACTACTATCTCTATTGACTTCCACCATTTGCCTAACGCTAGGTCCACACAAATGCTAGCTGATAACACCCCAAGCAAGGGATCAAAGGACAGGGCTCCTGCAGGGGAAGCTGTTATCTGCTGCGTTGGGTCCCAGCTTGCCGGGAATTTGCAAACAGACAGCAACTCTCCTTGGGCTCTGTGCACTGTTCCCTGCTCTCTTGGGATATCAGGCTTTTGTCTCAAATCTATATTTCTACACAGGAAAACTGAGGAGATTGAACTGAACTTGATAGAGAACAAAACATTAATTTTAATTAATATGGATCACATCTTAATTTAGTCTTAAGCATCCAGTAGAGAAGAATAGCTATAAGAGATATAAAACAATACTATAGTAATACGTTAATTATAAAAGAAACCCAAATCATTAACACCTTCTGACAATTGCCAGCTGCTCTGGTAACTGAATACTGCTGTGGGTAATGGACTCTATAGGGTTTAATTGCTGCATTCAGGGACCTAAAATCCTTGGACTGGAAATCTTTAGCCTAAACTAGTAGGTTATTCAGAATGGAAGGGGTTTGAAAATATGAGGATCTTCCACAGGGTCCTCCAGGAACAGCTCCTCCACTTTCAACTGATCACCCATTACTTGCAACTGCAAAACAGAAAAAGGGGAGGTGCAAAAAGTGGCTGAAGCTGGAAATTGATCACACATGCAGGGTTGGAGCAGTCTTGAGAATGAAGAGCCACCAAGGCAAACCATGTGAACAAGTTGTTTCAGCTCCAAAAACATGGAAAGCCTGAGGTGATCTAAGCTAACACGTTGTTAGGTAGAGTGGTGTCATGTGACATCAACCTGCTGAGTATATAAATAAATGTGCTGCAGTTGTTGAGTAGTTATTTTCTCCCATCAGGAGAAGAGGCTCCATCTGATCTCAGTTCTCTGTATTTTGACACTTGTTTTTATTTCTTCATCCTCTACTGTCCTTCGCCCCAAGATTTTCTGACAGCTGCACTGGATGCGACATAAACAGATAAAGAAAACATAGTGTTTATGTACAATGGAGTATTGCTCTTCCACAAAGAAAGATAAATGAATAGTTTATAGGAAAATGGATGCATCTTGAGACCATAAAGTTAAGTGAAATAAATCAGACATACAAACTTAAATGGCATGTTTTCTTTTATATGAGAAACCCAAAATTTAAATAAATAGCAAGATAAAGGATAATAAGAAATAGGGGAATAGGCCTTTTGCAAAAGGAACACTGACCAAAAGATAAAGTGCATGTTCCAGGGGCAGGGTTGGCACAGCAGGCCAGGGAATCAAACCCCTGGCCTCTGTACCTGCTTGCAGGTGCTTTAATCCCCTGAGCTATTTGGCCGGCCCCTTCACTGATCTTTTAAGGGGGACTAAATGGCATTTTGGGAAAGAGTCCCCTGATAGAAGAAAGAAAACCTCTGTAGTCCAACTGGCTGGAGTTTTTTCTCTTTTAACAAAAGGGAGGAAGCCTATGACTCAGTGACAGTATCCTTTTGCGGCATGTGCCAGGCCTTGGGCTTGATCCCCAGAACTGGGAGTGTGGTAGGTGAAAAGTTGAAACTGATGTTAGTACCAATTAACTTTGTTTTCCTATTGCATAAAAATGTAATCATTTCTTATCTAAACAAGGCCTGACATACTAGGTCAAGAAGATGAACAAGAACCAGTTCAGCATCAGGCCCTTAATGTGGGAAACAAGGATGTACATCTTCCTGAGTCACTTCAGAATGAGGAGATAGAAACCAGAAGCTCCTTGAGCCCATACGATCCTGATGAGAAAGGTCTAGGTGTGCAGGTTTTTGGCTGTTGGGGCACAGGTCCTAAGAAATAAATACTATATTTGTGATTGTATATGTCAACTTTATTGGGTTAAGAACCACCTTATGAGGGCCAGCCAGATAGCTCAGCAGATTAAAGTGCCTCCTTAGGTAGACACAGGGACTGGGGTTTGATCCCTGGTGTGCTGTGCTGGTCACGCCCCTGGGACATGTTGAGATGGTGATTGAGACTGGGCATGGTGGCATGTGTACCTGTAATCCCAGCGCTTGGGAGGTTGAAAACAGGAGGATCATTACAAGTGTGATCTGTGTGGTGAGATCCTGTAGACCCTGAACTAAATACATAAAAATAAAAATAAGAAACACCTTATGGGGGCTGGTGAGATGGCTCAGTGGTCTAAAGCACCTACTTAGAACAAGCTTAGCAAAGCACAGGGACCGCGGTTCAATCCCCCAGCACCACATGCCAGCCAGCCCCACCCCCTGGTGGGCTGAGCTGGCCACACACACACACACACACACACACACACACAAATAAAATTAAAAAAAAAAAAAAGAAACACCTTATGGATTATTAGTGAAACATGTTCCTGGGGTGGGTCATGGGGCATGCTTGGGTATTGTATATGGACCCTGGGCCCTTTCTCTCTGATACTGTCTACTTGCTGTGCTTTCCTGATAGTATGAATTAAGGAGCTTTGCTTTACCACACCCTTCTACCATGAAGTTTCTGCCAATGGTTCAAAGAGACTCTCTGCAGACACATTAATTTAAACCCGAGTCTACAGAGGGCCAAATTATCCTGTGGCAATGTTTTATTAGCTGGCCAGACCCAGACATTAAGTGAAAGCTTCAAAAATTTTGACAGGATCCACAAACGGGTATGGGTCAACTGGTTGATCTGGCTTTCATGGTCTTTAACAACCAGGACCAAGAGAAGGACAAATGAAAATTGAATAACAGAATAAGGCACGCAAAGGTCATGCTGGCCCTCATGAATCAAGCCTATAATAAAGCCCACAGCACCAATGTGAACTGAGGTAACCCAAAGGGTGATGAAGGCAAGTCTAGGGCTTCAAGTACAAGCAATTAGACCACTGGGCAAAGGAGTGCTCTCAAAGGCCACTAAGTACTTTCTAAGCCTATATGGGCACAAGTGAGGACCTATGGCACTAAAGAAAGCACTACTCTTGTTCCAGAAGGGGATGGAGTCATTCACCACCATGATGACAAGAAGAATGTACAGACAGTGACTGATGGTGACTGAGGCAGCCTGCATGGCTCTCTGCACAAGGACATCCCAATAACCTTGCAAGAAGCCTCAGGTAATTAGATGCCATGGATATGCAAATTACTTTCCTTCTTGATACTGAGGCCTCTTATTCCATTCTAAACTCTAATGGGATGAGTCATCGTTCCATTCCTCAGTTGTTGTGGGAGAGGGAATGACTAGTTAATTTTCTTCAAACACATCCCCCCACCAACTGCCAATTGGGACATTTTTTTTCCCCAAGCTTCTCTCATGGTAATACTAAACTATCCCATATTAATAACTGAAAGAGACACACTCCTGCTCAGGGCCACTTTGTTGCTCATGCGTCTAGCAATTTATGTCCTTGTTGCCAGGGGCTCAGCCAACCTACTCCCCATCAGTCCCAATTCCTTTGCTAGAAGGAATACCCTAGACACTATATTGCTTGTTTATTTGTTTGGTTTTTTTTTTAGACACGATATTGTTGCAGAAACTAGAAAACCAGATAGAAAATGCTTTGTACCAGGAAGTAGGAAGGCAACTTTTATTAGTGCCAGTGAGCTGATGCGGGATCACTCCCTCAAAACATCAACACTGCTTAAAGTAAAACAGCAACTTACATACTTTTTTATGTTTTTTTTTGTTTTTGGTACCAGTGATCAAACTCAGAACCTTGTGCTTGCCAGGTAGGTGCTTAAACCACTGGGGTATCACCCTGGCTTATATACTTTTTTCTGCAAGCAGGAGATACAGACTCAATAACAGGTTACTCTATAATTGATTACATGCACAGGTTAGTCTATATGTGGGGCAACTTTAAGTGGAGGGAGCCACTTATCATGGAGCAGGAAGGTTGGGGAGAGGAGAATCAGAGTCCCTGGCAATTGAGCAAGATTTAGTATGACCTGACAGGTACAGCTTGAAGAAGACTAGCAAAACAGAATAGCTATATAGGCTATTATGCTGCTGGATGGATAGAGCAAAGTCTATTATCTCTGAGTTGTGGTTGGGTAGCCAAGGCCAACTGAGTCTGATGGCCCAATTATGAAACTATAGTTTTAATTTTTTTCTCATTACAGTATGATGGCACCCTAGGGTGAGTTGTCCGGGGCCTGGATAATCAAATGTCTTGATGGGCTGTCAGAGCTACGCTAATAATCATTTAGCTCATGGATCTTACCATATGCATTCATGTATAGCAAGAGAAAGATTAGACTGGTGCTAAAGCCAGTTACTAATAAAATTAGGCTATAGGATTGAGGATGCTATGTCAGTCCCTGTGCAACACATCCATTTTACCGGGAGTCAAATTATGAGGAAAATACCACCTAGTTCATCATCAGTGAGGTGGTGATGCTTATCTACCCTATGGTGGCACCCGTGCATCCTCCTTGTACGGATCTCAGGTGACACTAACTGGTTCTCAGGCTCTGATCTTCTTTTCTATTCCTGAGGACTCTGCCTCCCAGTACTTGTTTACCTTTGAATAGGTGTAGTGACATGAGACAGAAGTCTGGTGTCCTGAGGGAGCAAAGAGCAAGAAATGTAGCCCAAAGTGACCTATTGTCTCTTGTAACTTCAGGCAAGCTGCAATAGAAGGCCACAGATAATAGCATTTCCTGGAGGTGCCCTGTCTGTTCTTTGATCCTTCACTTGAGGGATGTTATCTGCTAGCATTGTATGAACTTAGTTTGGTGAATGTCAAGGGCAATAGAGATAGTAGTTTGTATTCACAAAATTAGTCATGTACATTCCTTCACTACTCTTACCCCTCAATAAATGAGAAGTTTCAGGACTAAGCTCAGTGAGACCTCTGAAGCTATATAACTTCAGTCTTCCCATTGTTTCTTTCTGCTCCAACTAATAACATACAACAAATAGGAGACTCCCCAACCTGGGCTTCACCAGCAGTATACTTGGACTGTGCTGACTTGGGAGTTTAGAGATCGCCCTCAGGCTGTTTGCATAAGCCTTGGTTGGAGATAGGAAGAATTGAGTTTGAGAAGGCCTATCATAAAATAGATGACCTTTGTTGTATGTTACGGGTTGGTGCTGAAAGAAACGAGAAGACCTGATGAACGTAGCTTCAGAGGTCTCACTGAGATTAGTCTCTCTCCAAGGGAGCCCAGAGCCTCAGAAGCATCTCACATTTATTGAGGGGTAAAGGCAGGCTAAGGAATGTGCATAATTACCTAAGTGAATACAAACTACTATCTCTATCCAACATTTGCCTAACACTAGGCTCACCCAAATGCTAGCCAATAACATCTCAAGCAAGGGATCAAAGGACAGGGCACCTGCAGGAGAAGCTGTTATCTGCTGCGTTGGGTCCCAGCTTGCTGGGAATTTGCAAACAGACAGCAACCCTTCTCAGGCTCAGTCCAGTGTTCCCTGCTCTCTTGGGACATCAGGCTTTTGTCTCAAATCTATATCTCTACAACCTTCTTAATTGTAGCCATTTAGGAGTTATCTGATCAAAACATTAAAATCCTTAATCTCTTAGTAAAAGGGGGGGGGACACCAGGTGTTCAAACACAATGCCCAGATTTCTCAATGAAAAGTAATTTACCAGGAATATGTTG